GGGGGGGGGGGGCGATAACGCTGCAGCCCTGTGGTAAAGCATCCTGCCGCCACTAGAAAACTGTATCTTGAAGAATACGGGAGACAAGCGTTCTCCAAGGGGATGGGACTGGCTCTTGGGGGTGAAAAAAATCTTAGATATTATGACGACTGTGGCTTCCGAAGGCCATGGCACATGAAGATACACAGCCTGTCTGCGGTCCCACTTTCATGGGGGGTGGAGGCGCAGCGTGATTAGGAAACCACCATCTACAAAGGCTCCTGAGGAGGAATAACAAAAAAAGCTGAGAAACACAGCAGGTCCTCAAATAACGTCGCTTCGTTCAGCATTTCGCTGTAACACTGATGAGACGCCATAGGAGCTTAGCTCTTATTTGTATTCGTTAGCCGGTGGCAAAACTGGTTTAATGGTCGTTTCACCGCAGATCTGAGAACCTATCGCCTGAGTGAGGGCTTCCTGCAGGAGGTGAAGGCCACACAGAAACGCTTACAGCCTCGCACATCAGAAGGAGTCTGTCACAGGATCTGAGTCTGCACAGCCCCAAATACTCTAAGACATGGTTCAAAATGGCAACTGAGGTTGTTTCTGGCTGGTGGAATTACAGGGGTTTATTTTCTTCCATACACTTAAAAAAAAAAAAAAAGGTTTGCCCTGGCTGGTGGCTCAGCTGGCTGGAGTGTCATTCCGCACACCAAAAGGCTGTGGGTTCAAATCCCGGCCAGGGCACGTACCGAGGCTGCGGGTTTGATCCCCGGTTGGGATGCGCATGGGAGGCAGCGACTGATGTTTCTCTCTCACCCCCCTTTCGTCTGTCTCTAAAAATCAACAAAAACATCCTCGGGTGAGGGTTAAAATTGATTAATTAAAATTAAAAAACAGCCTCACTCCTTGACTTAGTCACAGCCGCGAACTGTGTCTTTCAGAAGAGCGTTCAAAGACGGGAAGAGAAGCCCATCCAAGGCAGGCGTTTCTTGTCCTCAGAAAACCTTATAGCACCTTTAGAACTTGTCATTACCGATTACTCAATGCATATAAAAAATCAATAATCCTTTGATAAAGGTGACATCGTGGAACAAGTTTTTAAAATTTAGAAGAAAAAAATTATTCAAAATCATAGTCCTAATCTCAGTTATTTCTCAGCCCCCACCTGACAAGTCCCTCTCCCTCACGCCTCTAGTACCCACTATATTCCTGAGCTGGACCCCGGCGCTGTCCCAACACAGGCCACAAACGGGAAGACAGCGGGCTGTCAGCATCCTCCCTCTGACTGTTACTGAAACGGTTCCATGCACTGTTCTGGTGAACACGCTCGCGGGCTGGGCTGCAGCCACCATGACCGCACCTGGTGCGCCAGGACTGGGCTCTTCTCCGCATCTGACCGCTGGCCTTTCCAGCGCCTGGAGCAAGCGGTGAGGTGCCCCTTCAGCTGG